TGCTTTCCAGCTTTTCACGGCTGCCTTCTTCCTGCCTCCTTCTAAACCCTGAACTCCAATCTTCCTGTGCATTCTGGGGTCCAATCCTACTAATAAAGCCTCTTCTATGGGGTGAGCAGAGACTGTGTTTGTTGATGGTATCAAACAGATGAACAAAACCCTAATAGTCCATCCCCATCACTGGCTTGCTGTGTGAGACCCTGAGAAAATCCTCTAACCTCTTTGGGTAACAATCTTTCATCACAAAATGATGGCTTATTCTTTAAGTGTGACCGTTCTGAATAATTTTAAAATTCTGATCACTTACAGAAAGCCCTTTTGTACCAAATAGGCTCTAATGAACATCAAGATCTGCATTCAGGTTTTAGAGGCAAGAGTGGGATGTAAAAGCTCCATTAGGAAAGACAACGGAATCACTGGGGTGCAGCTGCTAGGGCATTCCTTAGACAATTAAGCCTAGGTAGATGCCAATCAGAATCCACCGAGCGCCAGAATGCAATGTTTTCATTAGCAAAGAGTCTTCTGGCCATCATTTCCAGGGTCCACTTAAACTGCTATGATTTCAACTGTTCTTGGATCTAAGACTTCTTAATTACTCCATTGTAAAAGATGTTTTTAGGGGGCATTTATTTTCCATCTGAATGCCTCTTTTGCAGCAAAACTTCAGCATAAAGGGACGAGACCTCTGTAAACTCAGTCCACACATTCAAGGAAAAAAAAAATATTTTCTTAGAACAGCAAAGTGGCCCCAGTTTGGCCTTATGTTCTAGCAAAAGCTCATTGCTTAGCTGCATTTAATAATCCATGAAACATTTCTATTAACTTTAGTGTGTATGAATTGTGTGACTGCAAAATGGGTAAAATAAAATTTTAAAAAAAGTGAGAGAGAAGCAGGAATACAAAATATGCAGACAATGAAAATAAGTGAGATCTTAAATATTTGATCAAGGCCTTCCCTTTTCAGGTAGCCAGTTACCATCTTGGGCTCTGGAACGCCAACAGAAGCCACAGAACACCATTCTGAATTATTAAAATGACAAGGGGAACCTTTTTACTTTTTACTACTTTTAAAAAAGCATGTAGCCTTTCAAGCTGACCTTTACTTAAATATTTAACACAGACACGGGGTCAAATATAAAATAGCAAAATTTCTCAGTCAAATACTCAACCTGTAATTATGAATCGGTTTAGATAATGCAGCCCAGCCAAACTCCCTTTGGCCTTTTTCTGTGTTCTAACAATTCTTTCCGGAGTGAGGAATCCAGCCTAGCTTACTTGAAAGCTTGCATCCTAGAATGCTTTTAATCTATGTATTCACTGATTTTTTTTTTATTCACTCAATTCTGTTCTTTCACTTGTTTTTTTTTTTTTCATTCATTTGACAAATATTTTTTGAATACCCACCAGGAGCCCGGCACTCATCTGGATGTGGAGATACATCCAGAAATAAAATATATTAGAAAGACTCAGCTCCTTTGGACCTTACACTTAAGTGAGGGAGACAGACAATAAATACAAATATACTCCAATAACAAATAAGAAGTACTCTAAAAGGGGTGGTGTGTGGGAGTGCTTCTTTGGTTTTTGGCAGGTGGAGTTTCCGAAGGCTGATGAACTGGGCACGCTGCCTTGAGACTGAGGGGATGTGTCCTGTCAGTGAGTGACAACAGCTACACAATTCTGGGGTACAAGAATGCCCAGGGCATCTGTTATGGCTTGGAGATGAGGTGTCCTCCCAGAGCACCTATTAATGCAGGAAATTTCCAGAGGTAAAATGATGGGATTATAAGAGCTGAACCCTAATTGGTCCATCCTAGCTTAAATGGTTTTTGGCAGGTGGGGTTTCAGAAGTGGGTGGTAGAGGTAGGTCACAGGGAACATGCCTGGCAGGGTGCATTTTCCCTGCTGCCCCTACCCCCATCTCTCTTTGCCCACCAGGAATGGAGCAGCTTCTCCTCCAGGGCCATCCATCATGAAGTTCTGCCTCATTTTGGGCCCAGAGCAAGGGACTTGGCCAACCATGAACTCAACCCCTAAAACTATGGGTCAAAATAAACCTTTCCTGTTCTAAGTTGTTCTTGTCAGGTATTTTGAACACAGCAATGAAAAACTGGCTAAAACAGAGTCCAAGGGAGGACAGTAAAATCTAGTACAGAGGTAAGGACTAGGTGATGCTTGGAGAACTTGTCAAGGCAAAACACACGAGGGCCCAGCCACCCATGGGGCCAACTTGAGATGTTTAAGCTTATTATGGTTGAAGCCACTGGAGGCTTTTGAGCGGGGAAGTATTGCAAACCAACTCATGTTGGAAAAAGTCACTTTGGTCCAATGGTAGTGGAAGCCTGCTGTAGGAGAAGGACTCGGCTTGAGCATTGCCTGTTCACCACCTTCCAAAGTACTCCCAGTGATTGAGAAGTTTGCCCTATGGTCATTTTAAAAGCCCACCAGTTTCCTTTTTCACTTTTTATTTCCAACCAGGCAAACCCTGCTCTTTCTGAGGGAGAGCTCAGAAGTCAAGCAAGGTTAGAATGGGTGCATCTAAAGGCAGAGGTATATCCAGAGTATGGTACATTACTGCACACCCAAGAAGAGCCTATTTTCCAGAATGTTCTCAGAACACAGCTTAAACCTGTGACTCCCAGTTGCACACTGATTGCTGTCCAGTGTTCTCTCACTGGGACATTAAGTGACACAAGGAGACTTCAGGATAATGTTATATTATAGCTTGAACTCCTTTTTATGCCTAGAAATAAGCTATTATAAATATTCAAAATCATGAGCAGATCTGAAAGTTCCAGTTTCCCCCCTTAGAGACCTGCTTCCTGAAGACTTTTCTTGGATGGGTTAAGTTAAGGTGTGTGCTTTATACTGCTTTCTAGAACATTCCCATGGGATTAGGCGCCTACCTATTACTATGGTGGTTTTTCCATGCCTTCTTCTTTGGACTGCCTTTCATGTCCTCCGTTACACTTCAATTCTCCTCTTGGGATTTCTGCACCTCTCAAATAAACTACTTGCACGTGACTACTTGTCTTGAGATCTGCTTCTGGGGGACTCGATCTCACCCATCTTCTATATAAAGTCCTTCTCCTTCCTCAGAGCCATCACCTAGGCACTTTCCTTAAGTATAATGGCAAATAGGATTCAGGAGAAATTAAACTTACTAATAAGGGAGAGGACCAAAAATTCCAACCCCATCAGACCTAGGATCCAGTTGCTGCCTGTGATCGTAAGCAAAGAACATTGCTCACATGTAGGTATTTTCCCTTCTGAAAGTTAGGAGCCAGGTGTCTCCAGAATAGATTTCTCAGTCACCGCCTCTCTCCCACCCTGGTTAGGTAAAGTTTGGCTGTTAGATGAGGTTCCTATCTCCTATAATAAGTGGTCACTATCTCTTGCCCAGGAAGCCAGGCTCCCTTCTAGAGCAAGCCTTGGTCTTCACTAGCCCAGGAAAGAAAGCTTTGATTCCTGGGGACTCATTGCCCAGTCTTTCCCTCCCTGGCCTAGGGTCCTGACTCATAATGACCTGGCCTCTGATTTAATCTGAGAGCTCCTACCAATCCATCATGCCACAGGCTACATAGAGATGCTTAGAAATCCCCAAGCTCTCATGGTGCTCCTGCCATGCTGGGACATATAAACTGACTTAATAAGGAAGAATCAAAGATTATTCTGCTTGTATACTTAGATGTTAAGCTACTTAATTCTCCCCCAAAGCTAGTTGGGGGGAAGATTCAATAACAGTGAATGAAACTGAGGATTGGAAAGGTAAAGCGACTTGCCCCAGTTCATCAGGTGGGAGAGAGGGACCCACAAGGCATGGGCACTGCATCTCCAGCCTGAGTGGGAAGCATCTTCCTCTGGGTACTTACTGGGTGATAGATTGGTGCTCCCTGTGCTGGGGGATCACTGTTCCTGCCCAACTAACCTCATGAGAACACTCTGAGGATCTGGTGACAAGAGGGTCAGGACCTACAGTGAGCTTCCAGAAGCATTTCCCATCTTCAGGTGAGGGCCTGGCATTGTAGTTAGGAATACAAACCTTGACATCATCCTTGATGTTTTTTTTTTTTTTTTTTTTTTTTTGAACAGTCCAATTCATTCCTTTAGGAAATCCGATTGGCAGAAACTGTTGAGTCTTGACCTTCCAGACCCTCGCAGCAAGTCCCTTGTGAGTGCCAGGAGTTTTGGAGGGTTTGGGGGTGGGGAGCAGAGAGGCCAGACTGCATTAGGGAAGCAAATTAGAGACCCATATTACCTAAGAAGATCTGAGAGGCTTAGGACCTGAATCTCCCAGGCCCCAGGCTTTTGAGATCAATTCTTTTTTTCATTCTAAATAAATTTTCCCTTGCTGGTCCTAGCTCTGTATTTTTTTTTTTCCTAAAACTGCCCTTCTCCATCCCCCACAATTGTGTAAGCTCAGGCCCCAGAAAACCTTCATGCACTCCTGGTTTGAGGTTTCAGCCCTCAGAGGGCAGGGCTGGGGAACAGAGGTGTAAATTTGTCAGGAGAAGGAAGCAGGGGCGCAGTAAGAGGGTAAATTCTCATCTAACATGGCAGAAAGTCAATAGATAAATCAAGAAATCGCTATGTAAGCTTATTTTTTTAGCGACAAGGGGTGACCACCAGAAGAACTAAACGACGAAGGAAATGATAAAAAGGGTTGTGGGTGAGAAGCAAGGGCGAGAGGCCTGTTGCTTCCATTAGAAGCACATTACAGGCAATCATTTTATTTTGTAAAAAGTGCTCATGCATACTTTGATATACTTTGTAATTCAGCCCTAAAAAAAAAAAAGAAAGTAAAGTGAAAATGAGAAAGAAATGGAATACAAAATATAGGAAAATAAAAAGCAAAACTCAGGTTGGGATTCTGGGCAGGAGCACGGGGGCGGGTGGGGGTAGTGGGCGTGGCTTGGGTAAGGGGCGGGGCGGGTGGGCCCTTGTCCCCTAGGAGCCACCCTCGCGGAGGGAGCCTGCGGCCCAGCGGCTGCGTACACACTCCGCCCACAGCGGGGAGCTCAGGGAGCGCAAGGTCAAGTGCGCGTAGACCCCGCCCCCCAGCGTGGGGGCGGGGAGGGCTAGCCCAGGACAGTTGGTCCCAGCCACGGGACAGTACGGGTCCCAAGGCGGCCCTGCGTTGGGACACCAGGAGCGATCCCTACAGACCTGTCCTCCAGCGCGGGCCCAAGTTCAGCCCGACAGATCCCCAGTCCCTGTCGCTGCGGGTGCCACTGCGGAGCCTCGCGACTCGCAGGTAAGAAGAGCCAGGGGCCCTGGCCCGCCCGCCTGCCTATGCCAATGTGGGCACCCGCAAGGACCTGGATCCCGGCGAGACACCTGGGCCCACGTGACTCCCGTTGGCGGCGGAGACTTGGGCGCCAGGTGGCGGCGGAGCTGCGGATTCCTGTAGCCCAGCACAGTTCCGTCCCTGCTTCCCAAACTGCCGGTTCTCGCTGCTGCGTCCACCTGCGCCTCCACCCTCCCTCAGTTACCCGTTTGACTCCAACCTCGGCAGGCAGACCACCTTCTGCACGCGTGCACGCAACTATAATATCCACTCATCTTCCTCGTGTGCTGCTCAGTGCTCACCTGCCACTGGGCCAAGTACTGGGGTCACAGTGATGGGCTGGCAAATGTGGTGCAGGCCGCGTGAAGGGCCGTGCAGGGGAGCGACCTACATGAATAGATAATCCACACACACACACAGGTGTAAAAGAGCTAGGAAGGAGAACTCCAGGGTGCTGGAGAATGTTTTTCAGGGCCCCAACTGCAGAAGCTGCTGGAAGCCAAACTTTCATGGGAATCAGAGTTCCAGGGTGGAAAACAAGGGAGCAGGCATGTCTTGTTGGGAGAGAGTGTGACTTGTCAAGTGAGGGGTTCCAGTAGAATCTCTTAGGCAGCCTGCTCTCTAAGATGAGGTCTGGTTTAGCCATTCATTCTTCAAACATATAACTGGTGTCCACCTTCCCTTGCTCTGAGGATTCTGAGAAATCAGACAGAGGCACTGTCCACAAAGTGACAGTTCCAGCCTGATCAAAACCACCCTCTGACCCACCTGGGGCGCTGCCAGTTGCATGAGTCCCGGTACTTGGGGCTCACGCTTTACCATCAGGTGTAGGTTGCTTCATGACTTTCACTGGTGACTCTTAGCTCTTGGGGTCACCATCTGCACCTGGTCAGAAGACTCCCTAGGAAAAGCAACTCTGCTGGTCCCTTGCTGAGGACCCTCAGACTTTGAGACCCCCATGAATTTGGGAGACCCCTTTGGGCTTCAGGATTCACCTGTTAGTCACTTGATGTGTTTTATGGGCTTGATTAATCCCAGGGTCTCCTATGGGTCTGTTGGTATAGAGGTAGGATTTGCTCCATGGAAGCTGACTGGGAGGCCCAGGGAGGGGGGGACACAGTCCAGGGAGGAACCTGGCACCATTCATGGGGAGTGATCCAAACCACAGGACAGATGTTAACAAAAGGGTGTTGGAGGGAGAGGGAGAGATGGTAGCCCTGGTGCAGCCCTCTGTTTTCTCTCAAAGACCACAGCTCCCTGTTAAAGAGAGAAGGGAAGCTCAAGTCTTGGTGGTCACAGACCTGGCAACTCTGTCCCTGACCCTGGGCTGTCCCTTATCTCCTGAAGTGTGAGGACAGTGGGAGCTAAACAGATGCTTGGCGTATCATTGTCCCTGAAGAAACATTAACTCTTGCCCTCTCCTTCCCCTGTATGAACTAAAATAGGAGTTAATAATAGCGCCTACCTCAGTGCGTTATCCTGGAGATTGTCTGGATACCTAAAATACACTGAGCCTGCCTGACTTGTGCAGGATACTACTCTGCTGCAGCTATGGTTATGCCTTGTTCTGGGTAAACATCCTGGGTGGAACTAAGCAGCAGGTGGGTTGGGGGCAGGGCAGGGACTTGGGGGACTGGGCAGGGTGATTAGAGGGGTAGTTGGATTATCTAGTGTAGTGGTGGTTTCCCCAGAAGCACAGGCCTCCAAGTGAGAGGGATGTTCTGCATGATAAAGGGCCTGGGAGAAGCTTTTGTCAAACCACAGTGGTCCAGCCTATGAAGACTCAGGCCAGAAAAATAGCACAAGGTGGTGGTGGTTGGGGGAAGAACTAGGATTGGAAGAGAGTCTAAATGGTCTTTTTCAATGTTGCCTTTAACACATGGCCCTATGAACCTTCAGGGGGCTACCTTCCTTTGCTCTGTGCTGAGCTCCACCAACCAAATGGGTATGGGAATTGTCTGGGGTTGTCTGGATCTCTGTGGAAACCAATTTTTTAACCCCCGTACCTGGCAGAGTATCATGTGTTTTTTTTTAAAATGGAACCTGTAGCCCGAGAAAGATAACTATTGTTTGTTGTTGTTGTTGTTGTTTTGCTGAGGGCCAAGCATGTTCATGCATGTGGCAGCTTCATGATGAACATGAAGCTTTGTGGTCAGATGATGTCACTGCTGTCACCTCCCATGCATCACAGAAGCTCACCAAACCTAAGCTTTTGCATCTGTAAAATGGGATTCTTTGTACCTAACTCAGCATTATGCAAGTTAACTACATGAAGCTCTGACCTCAGTGCACACAGGCAGTATGGCAAGCCCCGAGCCTATAATAACTGGTGTTATTTTTTATTATATTTATTATTTCCCTCATGATCACCAGTATAATGAGGAACCACAGACATAGGTGTGTGGCACTAATTCTGGACTCAGAATCATATGGTAGCAAAGGTACTTTGCAAACACTAACCAGACAGTTTGTATGAAATTCAGTGTATTCTTGTGTGTTTCATTCATTACTTAAAGCACTTGACTGTGAGATCTTAAAAGGAAAAAAAAAACTGGAAAATTATAATTTATGTGCCTTTCAAGTTCAGGTATTTTATCATCTAGATAAATCTTCCAGGCATCTATGTTAAACCACTTTGAGCTGTCGAAGCTCTTAAATAAAGTGGCTTGTTCTGACCAGTGTCTGTCTGTGATTGTTTATCATAGTTCCCTGGTAACGATGGACAGATCCCATTTTGCAGGGCAGGCCTCAGGACAGCAGTTCCTGCCTACTCTTTTAGCCTTGCAGTTCCACACGATGGTGTTGAACAAACCACACTGGACTCACAATTCCCTCGTCATTGTCTCTGTCACGTGCACATAACCCATGTGCCAGTTTAGAAATTAAAATAACAAAGGATTCTTTGTGTGTGTGTCCGTGCGTGCATGCGTGCATGCATGCTGAGGATGGAACCCAGGGCCTCATGCAAGTGCTCCACCAATGAACTACACCCCCAGCCCCAGAAGAGTGAGGCAACAATTGCTAGTATGAATCTGGAAATCAGCTCTGGAGTTGATGGGTTTGTGAGTGAGAGTGCTTTGCATGAGGGTGATAGCATCTTCTGCAAGCCTGAGCTGTCTGCTCTCACTTCACAGGGGTGCCTTCTCTTCCCTGACCCCTTGCCCAGGGGAGGCCTGACATCTTCCTGTTTCACACTGCCTCTGGCCAGAGCTGCCCCTCTGCCCATAGTCCCTGGACAGCTGCAGCCTTTGGCAGGAAAGCCTTCCTAGGTCGGCTCCTCTGCCTTCCCAGGTAACTGTGGGCACCTCTCCAGCTGCCCAGGTCAGCTGCCTTGAAGGAGGGGCCTCTGGTGCCATAACTATGTGTGGAAGTGGGTCAGAGACAGTCAGTGTGGACATGGGTTCAGCAAGCCTGTAGGTGTCCACTGGAAGGTCATATTCATTTATTCACATGCCTTTAAAGACTGTTGTGTGTATTTTCTAAAATTCTGGTAAACAGTGTTTTGTGCTGTGGGTAATCCTACTGAGAATGTGTATTTTTTCCTTGTAATTATTTTTTATTTATATATGACAGTGGAATGCATTATAATTCTTATTACACACATAGAGCACAATTTTTCATATCTCTGGTTGTTTACAAAGTATATTCACACCAATTCATGTCTTCATACCTGTACTTCGGATAATAATGTCCATCACATTCCACCATCATTTCTAAACCCCTGTCTCCTCCCTTTGTAGAGTCCTCTGTCCTATCTAGAGTTCTTCTATTCCTCCCATCCTCCCTCTTCCTACCCCACTATGATTCAGCCTCCTTATATCAGAGAAAATATTCAGCATTTGGTTTTTTGGGATTTGCTAATTTCACTTAGCATTATCTTCTCTAACGCCATCCATTTACCTGCAAATGCCATGATGTTATTCTCTTTTATTGCTGAGTAAAATTCCATTGTGTATATATGCCACATTTTTAATCCATTCATCTATTGAAGGGCATCTAGGTTGGTTCCACAGTTTAGCTATTGTGAGTTGTGCTGCTATAAACATTGATGTGGCTGTGTCCCTGTAGTGTGCTATTTTTAAGTCCTTTGACTAAGGGATAGCTGGGTCAAATGGTGATTCCATTCCCAATTTTCCTAGAAATCTCTCTACTGCTTTCCATATTGGCTGCACCATCTGCAGTCCACCAGCAGTATATGAGTGTACCTTTTTCCCCACATCCTCGCCAACACTTATTGTTGTTTGCCTTCATAATAGCTGCCATTCTGACTGGAGTGAGATGAAATATTAGAGTAGTTTGATTTGCATTTCTCTAATTGTGAGCGATGATGAACATTTTTTCCCCGTATTTGTTGATTGATTTAGGCCCTAACATTCTTAATAAGACTTCTTTGGCACAAGAATTAAAACCAAGAATCAATAAATGGGATGGATTCAAACTAAAAAGTTTCTTCTCAGAAAAAGAATAGAATAGAGAGCCTACAACTTGGGAGCAAATCTTTACCCCTCACACATCAGATAGGGCACTAATCTCTAGGGTATATAAAGAGCTCAAAAAGCTAAGCACTAAAAAAAACAAAAACAAATAATCTAATCAATAAATGGGCCAAGGACCTGAACAGACACTTCTCAGAAGAGGATATACAATCAATCAACAAATATATGAGAATGTGTATTTTTAAAACAACTGTGCTCTATCTGCCAAATGGAAGAAGGATCCTACTGCTGTGGGTCACATATTCTGTGGTGGTCAGCTTCCCTCCACGGGTGAATCCAGCTGGGCGCTCTAGTTGTCATTGTCACCCATCTCATCCTGGGTGGCAGCAGTAGATGGGCATCCTGCCCATTCCCAGCTCCATTTTGCAAGGTTCATGCCAGAGCCCTCTCCCTCCCAAGCCACAGAATTCACTGGAAAGCCTATTTGCTTTCTTCTTTCTTTGATACCTCTGAGCACAACAGCCTGAGGGC